TGTAAGACCGTCCTCTAACTATGTAAGAATAATCACTCCTCTCAAATAGGTATAGTCCTTATCTAATAAGCGCCCCCTCTCCCCACCCTTTGAAGCGCTTAATAAACGCCCAGGCGTTAATTGGATCATTTACGGTACATAATGCTGATCGTGGATTTTTAAACTAGCCGGAAACACTGCACTCACCAGCCAAGTCTTCCAGACGAAAACCAACGGTTCTTATATTTCGCATTATAAACGTCATTAAAATTAATTAAATTTAGCATTAGTTTTAAAATTAGCTAACTAGATATCGCCATGTCATTTACAAACATAAGAGTCTTTTTTACTTGTAACGCTTGACTTCCAAAATCATGCTTGTAGTGAACGTACTTTAAGGATTTGTAGTATATTTTGTAGCGCATCATTAGCATCAGTATGTAGTGAATTGCATGCTATGATTTGTACCAGACTTGCATAGGCTTGTAGATACATACGTAATAATATAACTGTAGTGGCAATAAGGTAGCTTTGCAATCACTTGGAAGTGTTTTGGAGAGAGGTCTTCTGAATAGCTGCGACGTAGCTTGCTTGTAAAACTCTAAATTTAAAGTTGTTTGGGTTAGTAAATAAATAGACAATGCATTAAATTCTGTTGTCCAAATATTGTGTAAATCTAGTTCTATCGTGTCTATTTAATTCGACAAACCAGCAGCTTATTAGCAAGTGATCTTTCCAGAGCGGTTCTGAAATTAACATTCATTTCCCGATTTTCACGGCTTACACTGTAACAAGGCTCTATATTCTGTTCTGGAACATTTGCAAATATGTTCTGAAAAGATGTGTAATGGAGCACAGACATTGTTCTGAAACAGTGACTGGTAAGTATATAGTTACATAAGTATATAGTCAAATTTAGATTGGGCATTTACATCGTCGAAATACCTGTTCGTTTAGTGAGAGTAATATTTGAAATATTTTCCCGACATTTTGCTGTCTTTTGTTCTGGCTGCTACGGTTCAAAGTTTGAGTTAGTCAGAACATTTCGGAATAATCAAGTGACAATTTGAAATATTGTTTTTCATTACACGAAAAACCGAACAACAACAGAGCGTAAATGTAGCAGCATGTGGGACCACAGCTGCCGCCCGACGTCACTAATAAAGCTTTTTGATTGGTCAGGATATCAGCCAGCCAATGCAATCAAAGATTTTTCTCTTGTGACATTGGAACGGCAACCGTCTGCCGCATATATATATATATATATATATATATATATATATATATATATATATATATATATATATATATATATATATATATATATATATATATATATATATGTGTGTATATATATGACAATTTTGGGGAAATAATATTACATAATGATGTATCGCTACCTTTTCGGGAAACCTATGATAATATAAGTAAATGTGTGAACTAGGGGCTTAAATTCAAATGCCTCTACTGGTTTCTATAGACTCCTACTCTTCTAGCCCAGAATTAATACTTTTGTATATACACCATGTTGCTAAATATTATATCACAATGACATTAGTGAATCAATAAAAAATACTCATTGGCGCCAGAATTTAAAAATCATTTGTAAGGATGAGTATATTAAGTGCTTGCAATATATTGTCAAACTTTTGATTACGGATTTCCGACTATAATTGTATTAGGAAACGCAGTTCTTGAGTGCCGTTAACGTTTATGCTTAGACCGATGGGTAATGAGAACCATAGCCTGCAAAGCAGGTTCTAGGTGAAAGAGCGCCATCCATGTATGTTTTGAAATACGCCAATAACCAAACGGTCGAAATGCACTTTGCTACTAGATTATGTAAGCTGATCATGCAGCTTACTCAAAAAAGGTCTTCTCTTGCAAACATTAAACTCAAAACCTTAATAAACCTTAAAATCGGAGTGTTTCAAGCTTAGTAGTTGAATATTGCAACTATTTGTAAATGAATTGTTCTCGTAAGAAAATATTAACCATGTCTCTAAGAAATGGGGCCCATATTTTATTTGTAAACTGATTAAATGATGCTTCCATTATGCTTTGCACGCTTAGAGTTTACGGTTTGCAAAGGACAATTAACCTTTTTTGAATTAGCTGTATATTCCCGCGGAATGTTAGCTTGTCTATAGAGCGAGACGCGAGGTTTCTTATCAAAGATCGTGTATTTTCACATTTAGGTATCGATCATTTTGCGACACGTTTATCAAATTTAATTTTTGAGATTAGATATGGTTTCTAATTGGCTGTTTAGTCTCATTTTCGGGTCACTAGCTAGTTTGAAATTAACAAACACGAATAATATCCTTGAAACAAGTATACAGCGGATATTTTCAGTTTTCATGGAGGAAAATCGCTGAAATCGGATCAGTGAAATAAATAAGAATTGCTCTTTTAAACCATACTGATAGAGAGCTTAAGCAAGCGACGTATTTGTCAACACGGATGTCATGAGAAAATTGGTATAACTAATTTTGGCTGTATTGATATATTGTTGGTTACAACGTGCGGAACGGCTGGCAATAGAGAGGTTCAGATACCCCACTTCCGATTTACGGATACGAGTATCGCCATCTGGTTTACAAATTTATGCTGATGTCATCAATTTTACCCGTAATTTCCACCCGTTACCCTGCGGTGCCGGTAAACCATGATCTACACGTAAACGACAAACGGGTACGGGTGTTTTCCGTTTATTATTTTTGGGGCGTTTAAATAATAAAAAATTTCAACATTTTAACCAAATAAATAATGCACATGTGCTGGTCAAAGTTTCAACAATTTATGGCGAACCTCAACAACGGAAGTTTCCATTCTATAATTGGTTTTCTCAAGCCGGAGTATCTTGGATTTCTGCATAAAAGTTACAAGTTATTCCCTGATTTACGGGTACGTGTATATCACCCGTACCAGTAAACCGGAATCGGGGTATCTTAACTTCTCTATTAATTAGCATCATCAGAGCCGTAATATACATAACTTAGCTATAACGGCTGTGTGGGTGAGCTTGTTTTGCCCGACCAAAAAGGCATGGTGGAAGCCGTGCTCGACGGACATTTCAGTCGCTAAATATTATTTTTTTTGTACTTTTCCAACCGTCAATTGTACAAATTTTATCAGGGGATTTCCCGTATAACATCGCTGTGGAATTTTGATTAACTGCTGGTGTTTGTCTAGTTTGGTTACGTCTCTGAACTCTGACCTTTGTAACCTGAAATATACATAACACTCATAACACTCCCACGTGCAAGGCGATTTCCCAAACTTGGCTACAATAACTCATCATGACGATAAATCGAAGCTAATACTCCATGCTGCTATCTCTGGTCATCTGCCTACTTACTGTTTGTATAGGTAATGCTTCAACTGTCTCAGATATAAGAACCACTCGTATAAAAGATCACGCCATAAAAGATATTTCAATCCCATCTTTAAACCGTTTACTGTTCAATTTGACTGATAGGATGAGTACTCTAGCGTTTGCAATTCCAACAATTCCCCATCATTAAAAAATTCATTAAACAAGTCCAAAATACCCCTGTCTTGATGCACATCCCCTTGTCACTCAGGATAGTAAAAAAGAAACGAACAGGTTCAATCTACTCTCCCAAAATCTCGACTTGGCTTAAACACGGCTACATTTGTCGCAGTTCGCAGGACTGTTACATTGATATTACCATTTATATGGATATTACATCTAATCCAGATCCGACCATTACACATGATCTCAAAGCTGGTAACGATCAAAATTCAAACAGAGATAACATCCTATGTTTATACATTAACGCCAGAAGTTTATCTAATAAGACCAAAGAACTTCAAACGTTAGCATCTAACATTCACATAATCGCTGTAACGGAGACCTGGCTAAAACCCAACATTTTAAACTGTGAACTTTTACCCGGAAACGACTTTGCTATTCACCATCAAGACAGAGTTGGCAGGGGCCGGGGTGGAGTAATGTTAGTGGTCAGAAACACCATGCTTAGCATCCGAAGGAAAGATCTTGAGAGCGAAAATGCGGAAATTCAGCTTGCGAAATCCGTCTTGAATCCAAGAGAAAGTTTTTGTTTCTTGCATTCTACCGACCGTCTAACACTGACATAAACCACGTAAAAGAACTTAAGAAATCACTTAACCTTGCCATCAAAGCAAAGTTTGACCACTTAGTCGTTTGCGGAGACTTCAACCTTCCACATATTGATTGGTATACTGGTTCAGCTACTAATAATGACTGTATTCACAACTATTTTACTAAAACTATTAAAGACAACTACTTATATCAGCTCATTGACTTTCCAACTAGATCTGATAACATCCTGGATTTAGTTGTTACTAATTTACCGGATACAGTCATAAATGTTCAAGGTTTTGAAGACATCCTGAATACTGAGCATAAACTTATTAGTTTCGAACTCGACCTTAAAATCAACAAAAAGCCTAAAGTCAAGCGTGAGGTTTTCAACTTCGAAAAAGCTAATTGGACTGGTCTCAAGGACGTGCTATTAAATACCCCCTTTGATACATTCTTCGTTCCAGAGGACATTGATGCTTCCCTTTCAAATTGGTGTGACCTGTTTCTCTCAATCGGTCATGATAACATCCCAAAGTGTTCCTCAAGGAACGTCTATGATCACCCTTGGATCGATAAAGAGTTGCTGGAGCTAATTAAAAAGAAAAACAAGCAAAGAAAAAAGCTGCTAAGGACAAAACACCCCGATGACTTAGAGAAATTTAGGTTAATCCGACGTGAAACAAAAAAGCTTGTCTCCAAGAAAAAATGTGATCAGGGCAATAAGCTAAAAGAGTCAATGTTTGAAAATCCCAAACGTTTCTGGTCACTTCTGAAATCTTCGGCCAAAACAAATCAGAGCCCAAATTTTATTCGAAATGGACAATCCTTTACGACCGACGGCCGCATCAAAGCAAACTTATTCAACAAATTTTTCCACTCCGTTTTTAGCCCTCGCGACTTAGATCCACCTCCAACGTTTTCTATTTCAATGGAATCTTCTTGTAACAAACTCTCTGATATTGATCTTACAATCTCTGAAGTTGCTGCGGTGCTTCGTAATTTAGACCCCAATAAAGCGTGTGGACCAGATGGTATTCCGAGCAGAATTCTCTCCAAGGTCGCCGATGAGATTGCTCCTTCACTTTGTATTCTTTACAATATGTCTCTCTCTATTGGAGTGGTACCTGCTACGTGGAATTTTGCCAATATTACTCCTGATTTTAAAAAAGATGATCCCACCATAACATCGAACTACAGACCAATCTCTTTGCTTTGCGTTATCTCCAAAGTATTGGAACGTTGCGTTTTTAATCACTGTTATCATCACCTCTCCCCTTCTTTCTATCAATTTCAACATGGATTTCTCAAGGGTAAATCAACGACAACACAACTATTAGAAGTATACCATGACGCCCTGGACTTCGTAGCATCCAGTAACGAAGTTGATGTAATCTATGTTGACTTATCAAAAGCCTTTGATAAGGTTCCTCACAATTTGTTATTACTCAAACTAAAGCATCATGGTATCAACGGATCTCTTCTTTCTTGGTTTGGTAGTTACCTCACAGACAGGTACCAAAGAGTTGCTCTTGATGGATCAATCTCTGACTGGCTTCCTGTCACGTCTGGTGTACCACAAGGTTCTATACTCGGTCCATTGTTGTTTGTTTTATACGTCAATGATGTCCCTAACTATATTCCGTACAACTCAACAATTGCTTTGTTTTCTGACGATTCCAAGCTGTTCAAACCCATTCTCGACCCAACCTCCAGTTACAATCTTCAGAGTGATCTCGACTGCTTGCAAAAGTGGAGATTGGACTGGGGAATGGCATTTAATAAGTCTAAATGCAAGGTAATGAACATCTCCAGGAAGAAGACATTGATAAGGGAAGCAGCGTACACCATTGATAATCAGTCGTTGGATTGTGTTTCTTTCATTATGGATCTTGGTGTCACTGTGTCAAATGATTTGTCGTGGTCAAGGCATATTGAAAGTATTGTGGCCATGGCTAATAAAACACTCGGTCTGATTAAAAGGGTATGTAAAGAACTCCTTGATCTGAAAGTCGGAAAATTGTTGTACTGTGCTCTTGTTGGGCCTAAACTTGAGTACGCCAGTAGTTTGTGGTCACCGTATACAGTTAAGTATCGTTCCTTAATTGAAAACGTCCAGCGGAGGACCACTAAACTTATACTGAACTATCCTCCGGATGTGTCATATACCGAGAGACTTGCCAGAACCAATCTTCTTCCCCTTGAATTTCGCAGAGAAACTGCCGATTTGATGCTTCTTTTTAAATCCTGAGCAGGACTGATTTTCACTGATGTCAATGATTTTCTTTGTACTTTCGAGCCAATATATAGATCTCGGAATTATGATGTTAACAAGTACAATGTAATCATTAAACGTAAACAAGATTATTACAGAAAATCGTTTTTTATTAAATCAGCAAAACTATGGAACAGTCTGCCCTCATACCTTAAAGTCTACCACTCGTTACTGTAATAATAATAACTAGTAATGTATCAATTGACAAGAAAAGATGCCAAGTTCCGCTGGAGCAAACAAGAAGAAAATGCGTTTGTGAAGATTAAGAACAGCATCTCGAAAGACACAACCATGGCATACTTCGACCCCAACAGGCAGACTATTCTACGCACAGAGGCAAGTTTCAACGAAGGACTAGCTGCAGCTCTCCTCCAGAAGACTGACAAAGGCATGCAACCAGTACACTTCGTAAGTCGATCCATGACAGAAACAGAGAAAAGATACAGCCAAACAGAGAAAGATGCATTAGCCATCAAATGGGCCAAGGAGAGATTGAGATCTTATCTTCTCGGAGCACCGAAATTCCAGATAGTTACTGCACACAAGCCATTGGTCCCTTTGTTTAACAAAACCAAAGCAAAGATGCCTCCAAGAATAGAAAAATGGGTGATGGAGATGCAAGACGTAGACTTCGAAGTAATCTACGAGCCAGGAAAGGACGAGGCAGACCCTTTAGACTACATTTCGAGACATCCTTTACCGGAAACCGGACACGACGACACAGAGAAAATTGTCAAATGGACAGTAGACAGCGAGCACGCCGTAGTTGTTGGAAGAATACGAGAGGAGACACAGAAAGACCCAAAGATGCAGAAGATTGCGAAAAAATAGCGAAAGCTGATTGGGAGAAATACAGACGAGATCGAGACGTTGAGCCTTTCATACACGTGAAAGATGAGTTATCTGTTGCAGAAGGATTAATCTTCAGAGAACAACGAATTGTCCTGCCAGAAGCACTACAGAGAAAAGTGGTTAAAGTTGGATACAAGTTGGGACATTTGGGAAAGACGAAGGCGAAACAGATGCTGAGAGAGAAGTACTGGTTCCCTCGCATGAACAGTATGATCGACACAGCAATTGATCAGTGTTATGAATGCAAAGTGACAACCAAAGATCATCGAGAAGAACCAATCAAAGTGACGAATATTCCAAGTAAACCATGGGATACAGTATCAGTCGATCACGGGGGACCGTATCCGGACGGTCATTACAACCTTGTTATGATTGACAAGAGAACACGCTACCCGAAAGTAGAATCGGTACCCTCAACCAATTTCCCAGCAAACAAAGAGAGAATGAAGCACATTTTCGCCACCTACGGTACGCCAAGAAGAATAGAAACAGACAACGGACCACCATTCAACTCCAGAGAATTTAAAGAGTTTGGACGAGAAGAAGGATTTGAACATCATAACATAACGCCATTGCACCCTCGAGCAAATGGTGAAGCAGAACGATTCATGCAGATGTTAAACAAGACGGAAAGAGTAGCCAACCTTCAAGGGAAAAATCGTCTTGAAAGACAGAACGCAGTACAAGACATGTTAGTTGCATACAGATCGACACCACACCCAGCAAAAGGAGTTACACCTTATGAAGCGATGAGTAGAGCAACTATAAGAACCAAAATGGATCATGTAGAACCAAAGTCAGAGAATACAGAATTCGACGAGCAGATCGACCAAAGAGATGCTAAATACAAACAGAAAATGAAGAAACGCAGAGAAGGGAAGCAAACGAAGAAAACTTCATTATTACTCGGTGATTACGTGCTGGTGAAGCAACCAAAGAAGAACAAATGGACTACACTGTATGAACCAGTGTTTTACACCGTCTATGAAATCCGAGGTTCACAAATATTAGCAAAACGAACGACAGATGGACGACCGGTTTGTCGTGATGCAAGCTAAATTAAGCTTGTAAACTCTGTGATGGGAACTATGAATGAAGATGAACTTTCGTGGGACGAGAAATTGGTGACATATCGAAACCGAGACGAGCAACAAACAAAACAGACGGTGATTCAAAATCAGAATCCAACAAACATTCCAGAGAAGAATACAACCGAAGTACAAATACAAGAACAAGATCATTCTAACATTAGTGAAATAACACCTGAAGGGAATCAAATGCAAGCGGAGAAAGAAACGCAACCACAACGAGCAGAACAGAATGTAGAAACAACAAACATTGAACCAAGAAACATTCAAAAAGAAAGACCGAAAAGAACGTGAATATAACTTTACATTAATGGTTTGAACTTAAATGGACCTTTAATTAAATTATAGACAATTAGGAAATAAGAAAAAAAAACCCAATAAGCACAATTATTATAGTATGTAGAATTATTATTAGAAATATAGCAACGTTCTAAATTAAGTTGGAAGGGATGTAATATCCTGACCTTTATCTAATATGCATGCACTTCATTATATATGTGTATTTAAATAGCTAGTTAATTATATTCAATAAACCATTGCATGACTGCCACGTATGCAGTAAACATTACAGTTACTTGCGTTCAAGTCTACCCTAATTAACTTGTACATTACAAGGTTATCAACATACAGTCCTCCTGGCAGTTCCCAAATAATTATAGTCATTCCTGAACTTCTTTTTGTCATGTTAGTCGTTTCCAAATATTTTTTATATGTATATAAATGTATACAAAAGTATAATGTATATACTGTTGAGTAAAGATAAATAGTATATTGTGTATATTGTAAGGGTTTAGGTTTCAAGTGGGATGAATGTCCTGTTCCATTCTCCTGTCACATAGTTATCTTCGTCAATGTATTTTTTTTGTATGGTGACAAATTCAATAAATCAAATTAAATCAAATCAAAAAGGGGGCGGGGGCGGGGGAGATGAAAAAAATTCGGACATACTATTTTTCACTAAGAAACGTAGTCAAAAATGGTATGTCCGAAATTTATTTGTATTCAGAGTGGCAAATGTAGTGGTCCGAAATTAATAGGCTGCTGCAAAACACTTCGTTATAGTGTAAACACAACTTACGTCCGTATTCTAAAAGCCCACTCACACTCACATTCACACTCACACTCAATGAGTGGAGGTTCAATCTGAGCTTCTCTTGAGTGCATGTCATTGCTGCTTTGAATAGCTGGCGGGTGAGTAGTCACATAGTAAGGTACGACACTAACCCTCCAGCCATTCAAAGACAGCATTGACACTCAAGAAAAGCTCAGATTGGACCTCCACTCATTGAGTGTGAGTGTGCTTTTAGAATAGGGGCGATAGTCTCAACACTGAAAAATAAGTAAATTTTAACGGAGTGTTAGCCGTAGGGTTATAGTGTGAACGCGGCCTAAGTTTGAACAACGCGGACGTCAAAAGCTAACCGGAAGTTTTGTTTGTGCAACTGCGCATGCTCCAACTTGAAACTGACCTCGTTGTGGTGGCATAGAGGAGGTGAAAATCAGAAATCGACGTTCTGGATAAAACGTCTCAGGTGAGTTAATGACTGGGTCAAAAAGTTATTAGTTTCCAGTGCCTTTGGGAAAGTAGCGAATTTAGGCGTACAATTCCCGTCTTTTTTTTCGAACATGGCGTCGATGAGAGTGGTGTTTATTTTATATATGACAGATCGAAGATTTTGGCAAGAAACTGTTTCTGTATTAATACCGATCGTGGTTATAGTTTGTTTAAAGGTTTGTACTCTATTTATTGGTACTGTTTTCCTAGTGTAACCTTTAAGGCTTTGTAGTTGAGCTTTGTTTTATATTATATTTTATAGGCATTATATAAAATTCTATAATACTGTCATTGAAAGCCAGTATTAGGAAGGATTCTAGCTTGTGTTTATACTAATTCTAACAATGGCCATAGCCGATATTCCCTGGTCGCTAGTAAACAGATTTACTCACAAAATTCTGGGAGTAAATCATATATCTTACCTTCTGAGAGTTGCACTTTAATGTGAGCCAACCAGATGTCCTGATACATTCCATATAAACCACAGGAGGCCCAGGCTCGATTTGCCCGCCTGTGCCTTCCTTATAACGAGGGAAGGACGGAGACATTGAGACCAAAATAGCCCAGACTTGGCATATGTCACACGAAACTATCCTCGATTTTTCGCTTTTAATGCATTTCTTTCACGATTAATCGATATCCCCTGCAAGAATGATACCGTATAACTCTCAAAACAACGATGCTTTAATCAAAGAGCTTAAATTCGCTCTGAAATCCGTGAGGAAATAACAAAATTCGGCCAAAATATATCCGCGTGCCGGGTTTGCTGTGCAAAAAGCGGAAGTCGTTGAACAACTCAAAATACACTCAACCCTGATTGGACAACGAATATCAACAAACATTTCAAATTTTTTTAACAGTACTGTAATAATTTCAATCAAAACTATTCACAAACGTTATAAAGTGTAAATATTACTGTATGTAAATATAACTGTAGTACGTTAATATGTATAATAAATTGTATTTCACATTGTGTTTGTTAAAAAAATTTGAAATGTTTGTTGATATTCGTTGTCCAATCAGGGTTGAGTGTATTTTGAGTTGTTCAACGACTTCCGCTTTTTGCACAGCAAACCCGGCACGCGGACATATTTTGGCCGAATTTTGTTATTCCCTCACGGATTTCAGAGCGAATTTAAGCTCTTTGATTAAAGCATCGTTGTTTTGAGAGTTATACGGTATCATTCTTGCAGGGGATATCGATTAATCGTGAAAGAAATGCATTAAAAGCGAAAAATCGAGGATAGTTTCGTGTGACATATGCCAAGTCTGGGCTATTTTGGTCTCAATGTCTCCTTCCTTCCCTCGTTATAAGGAAGGCACAGGCGGGAGCGGGCAAATCGAGCCTGGGCCTCCTGTGGTCGAATACGAGCGCAAAAGGCTGCTGGGAATCGCTAATAAATTCATTATTTTTTTAGCGATTCCCAGCAGCCTTTAGCGCTCGTGTTCGACTTTTCCGCTTTGCTCGGGGACAACCTCAATTGAAATAGCTGTATACGACTAATTGCGGTGTTGATGAAGTCTTGAACGATCTGTGCCAGTGTGTGTCAAGTTTCGAAATGATAGAGATGCAACTACTTGAAAAATGCAAGAATTTCGACGTTTCGAGCGAAGACCCTTCGTCAGGAAGTTACTACGGCCTTTGGTTCGAACGACGACGAAGGGCTTTGCTCGAACGACAAAGGGAAATACATATGGGAAAGTCGTATACTACAATAAGCTGCAAAGCGATTTTTAAATTTCACTTTGAAGAAAGAGCCATCGAAGCGCCTTCGTTCGAAACGTCGTTCGTTCGTCCGCAGTTATCATTGTTTTCAACAAAAAGGGCTGGAAGAAAGGATCGTTTCCAAAACTACATCTGAGTAACAAACAAGTAACAGACGAGTAACAGACAATATTTTGTCCAGAAATTCCATTGGAAGCCCTTGTACCCCCCTAGAACATTCCAAATATTTCTTGTATTGATCTATTTAATCCAATCTAATTCCCGTGGCAATTAATACACGTACATGAAGTAGTTTCCATTTACACCAATCATTGACAGAGGTAGGTATAATCTTCGAGTTAAGCCGTTTTCGAGTATTAGGCCCCGACCACGCCCAAACCACACCCATTTTCGTCAAGGGCTTAACTCGAAGGAAGAAACACAACTTGGAAAGTTCGAGTTAAGCCCCGTGAAAAAAGAGGGGCCTAACTCGACGTCAATGATGTAAAAGAGCAATGATTTGAGTCGAAATAAGACTTATTTCGCGTAAGAGGTCAATTTATTCGTAATGAGCTCAGAGGTATAAAGGATAGTAAAAAATAATCTGTTACTTAACGAAAATTGACTGTTTATACGAGTTGTTCGTGATTCATTTACGCTGCAGCTCATTTAGGCCGAGACGTATGATAACTATTTCCAGCTAGATTGTGGACGACTCAAATCATTGCTCTTTTACATGTAGTTGAGGACCTGTATATGAGTTTGTATGCATTTCATTTAGGACAGATAATCTCAACTGTTTTAGGGCAAGTTGACCATGACGGTCAACATGGTAACGCTGCCCGAACCCCAATCCGGGACGAAATGTCCCGGATGTGACCACACCCAAAAACAACGCTTTAGCCATACTGCTATCTACCAAACCATAAAAGCTTTGGCTATTCTGAGGTGCTTATATGGTTCAGAGATGGTACTTTTTGGGGTGGTCATTGGTAAGTGTGAAATGCCTAGCACTAATATTTCACAAGAAAATGACCATGCAATAATCATAGTTAAACGTCAATTTGTGGCTTGCAACTTCAGAGAAACAGCAGTGGACTTACATTACCTTTTTCCCTAAATCTTTTTGATAGAAACATAATTGGTACTTATTTAAATATATTATCACTGGTTTGGTGTAAAATAGTTAATATTTTCTGACCGAAATAATAATTTGAAATGTGCCTACCTCCTGCAAATGGACGTATTTGGCCAAGTTCTCCACTTTACTCCGCTGTTTATCGGCGATCTCGTCGACATCCTACAAAAAATGTAAATCATCTCAGACATAATGGTATCAAGAACATTTTAAACAAGTTTCAACTTGGTTTCAAGTAGATCATACCTGTTTAACCATCGACAAGGTAAATCCACAACTTTGTCCAAATTCGGCGCCATTTTGTCATCCCATGTCGGTTGTCAACAATTCGGCCTTGTTACTCTTCCATTCACGCCATATCCATTGCACCAATAACAAATTTAACCCTTTGTTAAGGGTATTAAAATAAAAATACAAATGAAATATGCGAAATGCAGCATTTTATCACCCCGTAAAATGTTGCTTACGAGTCCTTCAAAACATTTCGTACAAATCTCGCGTGGTTTAGCAACAGGGACGTGACAGGGGGGGTAGACACTTGAAAAATGAAAGCAAAGCCCCACACAGTATCGTAAAACCATTAAACCAACAATCGGCATTTAATTTGTATGACTTGTTCATATTAATAAATAATAATATGTATATATTTGTCGCTACAAGAAATAAAACAAACGTTTGTATGATTGTCTTTAGCTTTTAGTCTATTTCACGCAGCCTTCTTCTATCTTCGTGAAATAATTCACCCCCCCCCTGTCACGTCCCTGTTACTTTGTCACGCGAGATTTGTACGGAATGTTTTGAAAGACTCGTGAGCAAGATCTTACAGGGTGATAAAATGCTGCATTTCGCATATTTCATTTGTATTTTTATTTTAATACCCTTAACAAAGGGTTAAATTTGTTATTTGTGCAATGGAAATGGCTTGGATGGAAGAGTAACAAGGCTGAATTGTTAACAAGCGACATGGGATGACAAAATGGCGCCGAATTTGGACAAAGTTGTGGATTTCCCTTGTCGATGGTTAAACAGGTATGATCTACTTGAAACCAAGTTGAAACTTGTTTAAAATGTTCTTGATACCATTATGTCTGAGATGATTTACATTTTTTGTAGGATGTCGACGAGATCGCCGATAAACAGCGGAGTAAAGTGGAGAACTTGGCCAAATACGTCCATTTGCAGGAGGTAGGCACATTTCAAATTATTATTTCGGTCAGAAAATATTAACTATTTTACACCAAATCAGTGATAATATATTTAAATAAGTACCAATTATGTTTCTATCAAAAAGATTTAGGGAAAAAGGTAATGTAAGTCCACTGCTGTTTATCTGAAGTTGCAAGCCACAAATTGACGTTTAACTATGATTATTGCATGGTCATTTTCTTGTGAAATATTAGTGCTAGGCATTTCACACTTACCAATGACCACCCCCAAAAGTACCATCTCTGAACCATATAAGCACCTCAGAATAGCCAAAGCTTTTATGGTTTGGTAGATAGCAGTATGGCGAAAGCGTCGTTTTTGGGTGTGGTCAGTTTCGGACGTTTCGCCCCGGATTGGGGTTCGGGCAGCGTTACCATGTTGACCGTCATGGTCAACTTGCCCTAAAACAGTTGAGATTATCTGTCCTAAATGAAATGCATACAAACTCATATACAGGTCCTAGACTATTGTGACAAGTTGTTTTCTCTTGAAATTTTTGCAAGATGTTAATGTCTGCGCTTACCAGCACAAGTCTGGTCTGTCTAGTTGATGATCCGACCATTAACATGATATTCTCAGAATTCCTGGGGGATTACCTCAGGGATCCACAAAAACTGGATTAGCAGTTCCATGTGGTGCCCTGTTAAAGTGCATATGAAAGAATTTTAATTTTTTCACTGAAAAATCGGCCATGGCATTCTCTTATCTGATAAATATTTTCTTAGATATTCGGCTCTAAATCTGCCTTTTTTCTAAAGATGGCCGGTGTCCCAGGAAATTTGGCCCCCCTTGGGAAATATGGCCTCCCCTTCGGAAATTTGGCCCCCTCGAAAACATAGTTCACTTTATCGCATATAAGCTTGGAAATCGTGAAGCTTCTTCTAAAACCAAGATCCTAAAAGTGTTTGTCAGTATTTATAGTTAGTTTGCATAATTTATTTGTGTCGAAATTCTTCGTTGCGGCCAAGAGCTAAAAGTTTGAAGGAAATAGTAATAATGCGCTAGTGCAGTCATGCCAGACACATCACACATGGGTATCTGTAAAGGACAACGTTAATGTATGATCGCTTGGCTTTAAGCTAAGAACACAAAACGATTTTTAGAGATAGGAATTTCTAAGATATTACAAAGTTATTTAGATCTATTTATTCAGTCACATAGTATGAAATTAGTCAGAATAACAACTGCACTTTAGCAAACGATGACATCATGCGTTGGCGAATATGTTAATATGCACGCGTCTAATAAATAACAGGGAGCAATTAGCAGTAAAAGTAGAATTTTAAGTGGAAACGTTTGTTCAAAAAACAAAATTAAATGAGTGCAATTGTCGAGCTGTAACATCAATTTCATGTATATATACTATACTAAAGTGAAGCCCATGTAAAGTGTGAGATGGCCAAATTCTGATATTCAGTGCCCTAATACACCTTACATTGGCTCAACTTTAAAATGTACACATGAACTCGAGGTAGGGCTCTACAACTGGACTCAGTAGTAGAAGTATTGGAAACAAGGTAAGTGATTTTGCAGACAAGGTTTATAACAAATGACACAATACTTTACATCAATTCAGCAATTTACTGCCCTTTTTCTATACAACTTAATTGCATATAGATGTGCAATTAAGATCTTATTAAAAAAATTATTTTTCCAGGGAGTAAAAAATAATATTGCACATGCACTACAAAAGAAAAAATATGTTGGTGAAATGGTGGCATTTGCACTGAACAAAATGGCAAGTATTGCCGATGTCAGGAGGAGAAAGAGTAGGATTTAGAGGTGTGCAAATCCAATCCGATTTGTTTGGATTTCAGAACCAAAATATTCATTTCGGATAGGATTGATAACGTAGTTTCATAGAAATGAATTAATTATCCACACATTATCGCAAGAATTAATCAACCATGCATATATCAAAGCATTATCGCTGCATTATTTGAATGATACTTCAATTGGACGTCAATTTGACATGTATTTCTTGCTTTTATATTTATTTGGTTAAATATTTCAACTTGAATGAGAAATTTATTTTATTAAAGAATTCTTTGGATCAGATCGGATTTTAAACATAGGCAATTGTCGGATTATAAACGTCCAATTCGATCCAATGCACACCTCTAGTGGGATTGTACGAAATTCGAGAGCCTATAAGATCCCAAAAAATCTACTGGGGACGGACTTGTGTCATTTTATAGAGCATGATAAGTTTTTTTATATATGATTGTAAGTTTTTAAATGATACAATTTTTATGTGGTGCGACTCATTAATTTACAATATGTGCAGAATCTAACCATTTTCTCATCTTCATGAAACCGCTACAGGTGCTATATTTCAGGACTCTTTCTATTAAAATGTATTACTGCAGACTGCATATTTTCAATACATTTGAATTAATTTTCTACTCTTAATTTATGTGGACTAAGGGAAGACGCTCCACCGACTGCAAGCCCGCAGGACAATCAGGCAGGGAGCATCTTGCCGCTGAAAAGATTAATGATCTGGTAACGTTAATCGAAAGTATTGATCTGTGTTAGTTTTCAGCAAAAATACAATGGGTGCATGCATGATGAATTACATTGTGAATTATATGTTAGAACTTTTTTTAAGATTATGAACCTTCCCCCAGTTACAGTGGATATATGGAGGATGTGTCAGTTGTTGTACGTAACGATTGGCCTATTTTGCCGACATATTGTATACTGACAACTTTTACATTATTTACAGGAACTTTCACCTAATAGTAAATTTGCATATAGTCTTCGTTTGCCAAAGGGAAAATAGAATTACGAAAAGGTGATTATTTATATTATTTTTTCTTTCAATGTTTTGCCTGTTTCAATTTAATGAATAGGAGTGTAAATATGTTTTCATATCTTTACCTTAATACTTTGTTTAGGGTATCCTAGATGGAATAAAGATTTCAAAAGCAAGACAACTGGCTGAACAAGAATGCGATGTTAACAGTAAATATAAGATTTAAATTTTTCATGATAAGTTTTCATTATAATTTCTCACCTTCCTTTTTTCCTTTATATATAGTTAATTGCAGAAGTAAAACTGCAGTGGCATCAAGTTCAGAAAGGAGACAAAGTGAATTCTGGTTCAAAGATCCCAAACCCCATCTTCCCTTCCCAGGGACTAAAGTTGACCTGACGTTCATAAAATAGCTTAATATACAACGCGTACAATCTGAAAATAAATTTCCAGCGCACAGATGTTCTTTCATGGTGAATGAAATAGGGATGAGCCGATAAGGAAAATTGCTGATTACTGAGGCAGATTATTTATAAGCCGATTATCATAACTAATCGGACGACCCGCCGATTATTTTACAAAGCAAGCGAAAAATCACAAGATGACCAACAATGAAGTTGTAAATGCGGTTTTATTGTTTACAATACACATTATGTACAATTAAAAACAGCTTCAATCTTTCATGTCAATAGTCAAAGTTTAGTTTTGGTAGATTGTAGTGTAAAAACAGGATATTGTCAGCTATGCAGAGCTAGTCTGCTGCATTTTCCAGTGGAAATGTTCCCAGTTTCACTTTGCTTGAGACAAAAGACACACGTTTTGCAACAAAATGTGACAATCTATTTGCTTGAACTCAGTATTTTAGCTCTGTGCTTGGCAGCTGCAGAAAAAGTCTTATGTCCGATTATCAGGCAATAATTGCCCAATTACCAATTATTTAAAAAAAGGCCGATTAATCGGCTTTGCTGATTATTTACCAGTTAATTGGCTCATCCCTAGGTTGAAAGTATATTTTCCTGTCAGTGCTGATCATATAATGTGTATAACTTTAGATGCCAAACATCCTAGATGACGTCTTGAGTTTGCTGGAGAAACAATAGGGGTGGCAAGTATATATTTTTCTTTAGGCCAGTTTAGGTGTTTTGCCGTGCCCAAAACAATCAATGGGTGAGTAAAGGGGGTGGCTTAAACTATATTTCCCTGAATTGGGGCCGACCTCAAACTGAAAAATATGTGATAATTTTTTAATACCTTCCTACTCATTTTACTATTTCGTATAGCAGAAAATATTTCACCTTCTTTAGTTCCTATAATTCATTTAAATATAATTCACTTTTTCTATCTAGAAACATGTGCTTCAGGACCCTCTTGAACAATAGTTAATAGAAATACTAAGCTTGAACCATGCATGAACACACAGTCACAGAATGTGTCCCCCACTCAGTTGTGGGTTGCATGTTAGGCCAACTTTTCTATGTGATTTACTAAAGGTACAATAAGGACAGAAATAGAAATTTTGAATAATTAATTTGCGAACATAGTTACAGTTGCCAATATGCTGGCGTGGAAAATTATTTACCAGTAATTATACGAATCTACTCAAACTATAGCTTTTTAAGAAACTCAACCGACTGTCACAAAAGGAAAATATACAAACTTTATACTCCCTTTATAATACACTATGTAATTCTAATTCTTGGACTAATTTGATTCATTGTATAGGCTGTGCTTGAAAATGAAGAAAAAGGATGTTCCTGCCCAGTGGTTATGTGACTTATGTAATAACTGTGAATCATGAATATCTTCCGGCTGTTATTGTGAATGTCAATAATTGTAGAAAAAACATGAATATAATAAATGCACTGTATATTTTGAAACATCTTCGACCTTGTTAACCCTATTTGTACTGGGGCTTTTTCATGTTGATATGACCGGGGGGGGGGGGTGTGCTGATAGGGCACACCCTTCAGAAATTCTGTTGATTAACTGCCATTATCCTATAAGTTTTATTTTTAGTAAGTTTTATCTTTCACATCCAAGTTAAATTCACATCCAAAATGCTGTTTTTTGGCCCCATTGAATATGACCGCCTATCCAAAAATCGCGAATATAGCTAATATTTTACCCATTTTGGTTATATTTTGTAAAGAGATAACAATACGTCAAAATTTACAATTTAGTAGTACTAAATGGGCGAAGGTGTATTTAATTAACTATATTTTGGATAAATTTCAGGAGAAGTGTGGGTAATATCTTCATTCTTTGCAGTTTTGCATGGATTAAATGATAAAGGTCTGCATGATTTTGAAAAAAGAATGATTATTAGCAAATTATTGGAGGGGGGAGGGCTGCAGCCCCCCGGTTGCTACGGCCCTGGAGTATATAACAACCATTTTGAATACTGGTCCTCTAATTACTTCCTTCATTAAAACTTATGAAAAAAGTTTAGTACACTGCGTTTAAATATACATTAAAGTTTGTGTAATATGACTAAAAGTTTAGGTTGGTCATGCATTGTGTGAGCTTGAATAATCCTTAACAGTAAACCCATTGAGTAGCATTGTGCCCTGATGCACCCCACTTTATTATTTTACTCTGTCTAACGCCAGATTATTTTACTCTGTCTAACACCAGACTATTTTTCTCATCAAGGGGAAAGTGCTGTCGCTTCGGGGTTAATTAACAGTGTAAATTGAAACATATTCACACATGACCCACCCCTAATGTACTGCACAATTTTCTATAGCCCACCCTTTTTTGCAAGCATGGAAATGGTGCCCCCCTCTTTCTCCAGCCCACCCCCCAGCCCCCCTCCCTATACTTTATGACTGGTCCCTTATAATATCAAAATAACTACTTGACTGCGTATCTGCGTACCACTAGAATATAGAGCTACCTTTAACTACAATTTAATATATTAATGCTAAGCCACTCTATGCCTCGTAGCTACCTTTACCACCATGGGATTTTAATCTATCGATCTATTTATTAATCTATTGAGAATAAATATATATAGATGTATTAATACAGTAACATCGTATCCATGATGTTTGAAAGGCATAGCTTGAAAGTGGACAGCTATTCCGCAATCACTCGGGAAGATATTGCAATGTTTTTCAGAATTATGGAATCTAAAACAATGAAACTTATAAAGAGTTACAGAAGCAAAGAAAAGAGTTTCAAAAACCAGTTACAAAAGCAAAGAAAAGCAAGTGGGAATGGCAAATATAACTTAATAAAATATGTCAGATGTCATCACCACACAAGTGATGAAGCCATAATGGGTCCGGTTGCTCAGATTTTGACATCTCAACCAAGCAATACAATATTTTGAAATCATCAATTGCATCCACAAGACACACTTCGAAGGGGCATCTAACAAGGAAAGTATCCGCTGAATGTTTTGTTTAAGGGCACAAGTCAATGATGTGTCCGACTATGAATGAGGAGTCCTTTTATCAGGCACAATTACTGTATATTACTGTTTATTATGCCGTTTACATGGCACAACCGATCGAGTAACTGACGTTTTTAATTTTCCCAACCTCTCGTGGTAAAGATCGGAATAATTTATACTGTAACTTTCCATTCGATTTAATTAGTTCCACAGTCAAGCCTATTAGTCCCATGCAGAAACATGCCTTATTACTTAAAATACTTTTCTAATTCTATAGGAGCAATGAAGGCGCATTTTTTGACCAAAAGAAGAAAAAGAAGACAGGTGGAGACTGGCGAGAGGAAAACAGTCTTACAAAATGAAAGACGTCGCCATTGTAAGCATAAAAATTTGTCAATTTAATTCCTCGGCTCAGCATTCCCGTCATCCGTACAGATAAATTTAATAAATCCGATAAGTTATTAAATTATCTACGCACATTAATTCATTTGCTTATTTAATTTGTCATTACTGTACAGTGGTGGAAATTAACTTATTCCAGTGGGGTGCAAAGCCTCCTGAATTTCCGACAAACCTTTCAAATTTCCGACAACCCCCCCCCCCCCCCCCATTAACACTCGAAGAGGTTGTTTTTAGCCCGCCTCTTTTAGGTCAAAATTTCCAAAAATTTGTCATTTTCGGTGAAGGTGGGTGCCCCCCCCCACCGAAATTTCCGCCACTGTTACAGTAACATCAAATGAATTTAATAAGCGTTTTTGTGCCGGTTTGCACGTATACTACCTTCGAAGTACTAATAGCACAAAGAAATCTTCACCAAAATTAAGGTTTAGACTTTTAGCGCATGTGTGCAGTTCCCTTACAAGAAAGATACAAGTTATTTCCGCTTTATAGTGTTAAAGTTATATAGCAGTAGGGATGATATACTAACAACGTTGACTGATAAACCACAGGCCAATTAAGCCAAGTAAAAATTGAATGATGGGGCGCGCTTTTAGTGATTTTCTTTTTATCCCCGACCTGCTCCTTAGCTTCTATATCACAAATATATTTTTAATCACTTCTTTCATCCTAGTATGTGCTTGGTATACTTGATCAAAAATTTATTAATAAAGAGAATTTCTTACTATATTTATATAGAAACTTCGTCGTCAGCTGAACACTCTAAACAAAACGTCGACATGGCCAGAACCCGCTAAGGCTGAGTATAGAAAGGGCATGAACATGCATTCCATGTCCCCGGAAGAGAGCGAGGAAGAACTTGTACAACAAAACGAGTCATCTGGGTCGGAAGAGGAAGATGAGCCTCAAATAATCACCAAAAAAGTAATTAAGATCCACCCACTTTCTTGGCGCAGCGACAGATTCACCAATCTCTTGCAATCATTGGACCGAAAGCACATGCGAAATATTTCAGAGAAGGCCCGTTCCATGACAAAGGAGAGAAAAGATGGAGAACCTTTGGTGTGTGCTGCACCAACTGGCATTCCTGACTGGATGGTCAAGAGTTAGATTTTTAAAAGCATAACATTTTATTCAACTTGTATTTTTATATCCATGCACTATAAATTTTCATTTATTTAGCCGTGGTTGTAATAAGCAAGAATTGGGTGAGCATTTTCAGATATCTGGAATTATCAACATCCCCGTGCTCGACAATGGAGAAAACAAGGAGAGGGATTGAACTTTAGGTGCACGGCAAAGGGTAAAAAAGAAGGCTGTACCAATGTAAATTTTATGGTAGCCATCGCCGTATGGGAATGGCGTTGTTCTCTGTGAACAGTGGGAGGGAACAATCACGGGTGAGAAATTTGCTGCAATTGTGAAGCGTTGTTTCAAGAAAGCTTTCCGAAACTCGGCGAATCCAAAGGGAAAGCTTTTCCTAATGGACGGGTGCCCACGCCAAAACTCAAGAGCAGCAATGCGTGCTATAGAGAAAGTAGGTGCGAAGGTTTTCAAAATACCTGCTCGAAGTCCAGATCTCAACCCAATAGAGAACTTTTTTAACACTGTCACTATGAAATTGAACAATGATGCCATCGAGAAGCAAATTACGAGAGAGAGTATTCACAAATTTTCCCTGTGTGTTAAGGAAACTATGCAGAGTTTCAGTTCGGACGAGATAGACAAAATAATTGACAGCATGGGCAAACGAATAATCTCAGTTATTAAAAGACGTGGTCAAAGAAGCAAATATTAATGACTAGATAATGTTGCTTTCAATCCGTGACTTAAACGTTAATATTTAGTAGCAGAATAATATAACAATCGTTTCAACAGTCAAAATCGTACTGATTATAGTGTATATATAAAAATAATATCCCACGATCTAATATCAACCTAATTTATATACATATTGCATATTTTACCACATGTTACCACATGTTACCACACGTTACTGTACATGTTACTATAAATATAGTATATATTAGTATATATTTCAACATGTTACTGCTACTTTTTTATAAAAGTAATATATATACTTTTATAAAAAAGTAGCAGTAACATGTAGTAACATGTTGAAGTATGTAGTAATATATACTATATCTATAGTAACATGTGCAGTAACATGTGGTAACTTGTTCAGTGATAGAAAGCGATTAATGAAATACTATACAGTAAAGTTTAATACCAAGAATTAGGTCTTGAAACGACCATTTTGTTCCATTTCTATGCTTTTGAGCTTGTTTTAATATGTGTTCAACTTATTTCTCCCAAAAGTACAAGTTGGCAAAGCAATGTGGACACGGTGTTATTTGCCTTTGTTCTCTCTCTGGGATGCTGTGTGTGAATCGAAAGACTTTCCATCTTGACGCCATCATATCATCCTCACTTTTGTCTTCGGCGTTGTACGAGCCTCGATATTTGATGATGTCTTTGGATGTTGCAAATATTGGGATATCGGTATGGACACAGACATCCATGGCAAAATGATTCTTTGGGACTGGCAGATTCACACGATCTCCTTCCAGCAACAGAAGCAAGCTCTTCCAGTCAATCAGCTCCCTTGTCCAGCGAAAATCATTTAGCCAAATTATCTCTGCTTTGTCTGCACCTACCCAAGCATATTTGTCTGCGGCAGGTTTAGGAAAGTTGTCGAATAGTAGCGTGAGGGGTTTAAACAGAAATGTTTTGCCACAGTTTGTCGGGCCGACTATCATGACATTCCTGTGTTTTCCTCTTCCAAGCATTAGCAAATCTCGTACGGCAGCGGCAAACAAGATTGGATGCAATTTGTTATTGACTAAACTTCTTCAGCGCACCTTAGCCATAGTCCTTCACAGTCCTCAATGCAATTACCGGTGGCTGCTTCGCGTATTATCTCCATACGGGATGTTTTTTGACGATGCAAAACTGCAGCTGCTTCTTTCATTCTCCAGGTTTGCTGAATGAGCTCATCAAGGCTTTTCGCTGACCGGGAAAGGGCATAGTTTGCCAGGTCTTTCTTACCCTCTTCTTACTGAGCATTGGCAACTGCGAGGAAAGACGTTTGATCTCTTATATCGTGCCTGTGAATAAATTCAGACACGTCTATATTCGACAGCTTTTTCATCTTTTTCGTTGGAGGGTTGCTCTCAGGTTCTTCATCATGCTGAGGTGTAGTTGTCAAAGTGGCTGCTTGTCTATTTGCGTGTCTTTGACGATAAGTACGCTGACAGTTCTTTGTTTTGGGGGATCCGACTTTGTCCAGGTTGGGATGATTTGGGCTGTGGTAAACATTCTCGTCAGACTTCGAAATATACCTGTACGCGGTGTAATATCCGTCGTGATCTGAAAAATTCACCACAACTCCATGCTTTCTTTGCAGGGCTCGTTTACACTCAAGCCATTTCTTTGGGCTGGTCAGCTTTAACGCCATATGATAGTGGAAACCTTCATCTGCATGATTCTCGAGGCAACACGCCCAGTGCTGTGGCCTAAATTTGCTTCGTTCTGAAGTGAAGACTTCACATACGGCAGCAGCGAATGATTGCCTAGTTGGGAATTTATTCAAATCAGCTTGGCTGTAAGTTATTAGATAGCTTCTCCGTGGCTTAGCACAATTTATTTCATCTTTAAATTCAGCCATCATCAACAGTAATGTTATTTATCGCGGAAAAAATTTGAAATTCCCTCCTCCAATCAATTTCTTGTTCTAATTTAATATTAACTTTTAGATAATGTCAACATTAATCAAAGACTATATAGCAACGCCCGGATGTGCGCGGTGGTAAACACGAGTTTAATATGTATTATGCGAAATCAAACGCTTACAAGACCTATACCGAAGCTTTTAAAATTTATGTAATCTCAAACGTAACATTTTATTCGTCTAGAAGAGGTTCGCCTTGAAGAAACCAGCGCCCGAATAAGATGTAAGTTTAAGTATTGAGTTGTGATGATTATCTGTTTATAATACTTTGAATACATTATGAAACCGTCATGCATATTCATATCATGTCGTATAGCCTTTGCCTTGAAGTTTGTGTGATGATTTACATTTAAATATGCCAGGATCCACGCTCAATTTTTTCCTGAAATTTAGACAATCATGGAAATAATATACGTAGACTTCTTATAAAAAGCATACATATTTTGCATTGTTGGAGGCCATTTGTTAAAGATGCTAATATCCACTGCCAAAATAGTCCCCCCTCCCCCCCAAACACAATGTTGATCATAACATAGACCTTTGGCAGTGAACTCATGCATACAACAACATTGTATAGGGGGGAGGGGGGAACATTTGGGAGATTATTGTTTTGTCTACGAATTAATTTCCATGATTGTCTATAAAAAACATGGCACTTAGTCAAATTTCGGTACCCAGCAAAGGTTGTCAACTATAGTTTTCCGTTCAATTCTCAACTAAAATTACTCTGTTTGTACCCTTGTACAACAACGCATGTAAGTATTCTTTCCGGGGGGGGGGGGGTTTAAACAGGGGGGTTGTCTTGGGACAAATTATTTTGACTGTTTTTCTTATGTTGTGACTTATGGTTTGTCTATGGTTGAAGTATGTACATGCACATCTAAGCATTAAAAGTATATTTATGCAATGCCCTATTATTGCGACCGATTTCAAGCAAATGTGGCGTTAGATTAAGTTGGTTTGAGCAGGCTGTGTAAATAAAAATTGGAATATATAAATGTATTGGCATGATCAGCCTGTTTAGTTGAAATTAACTAATTTCAGCAAGGAAGTTTCACGTGTTTCTTGTGTCCGTGCAGATGCTTGTTAACATGCAAAGCTTCCAAGACATCCATGCAGTATGAAAAATGAGATGATGGTATAAAGCATGTCAGTTAGTGATTGCTGATGTATACCTTGCTCTGTAGTGTCGTAACATTTGCTTCTATTTTCTTCTTTGACGAATATGAAGCTTTGTTAATAATTGTCACAATGCCTTCTTCGAAAATATTTTTAATCCTTTTTCAAGATGATGAAAAAAATTTCCCATGAGCATTCTGCACAAATCAGAGTTGCACACCAACTTTCAAACGTTAGAGGTAAGAGGCTGTTGCAAATGTTTCCACAGTATTCCAAGGCAGCAATCTATAAGCATGCTAAGAAGCCATTGAATGGCGAGCCTGTCTTTGATAAAAGGAAAACGAACAAGGGCAGACCAAAGAAACTAACTGTCCGAGATGAGAGGAGTATACTTCGTACTATACCAAAACTCAGAGAAAAATTAGGAAATTTTACTTCAAAACGTGTTCAGTTGGAAAGTGGTGTCACGCATGTTAGTAACAGGACTATCAGAAATATATTAAATAAAGAGGGTTACCATTATCTAAGATCAAGAAAAAAAGGCTTACTGCATGCCGCTGATCTCAAAGCTAGAAAAAGGTTTTGCCAGAAAGTCCGACGTAAAAAGTTAAATCAAGATTTCTGGAACAAAGGCATTTCATTGTATTTGGACGGTAAGGGCTTCGAATACAAAAGTAACCCACATGATCAAGCTCGAGCACCCCGTGCTCGACAATGGAGAAAACGCGGAGAGGGGTTGAACTTTAGGTGCACGGCAAAGGGGAAAAAAGAAGGCTGTACCAATGTAAATTTTATGGTAGCCATCGCGTATGGGAAGGGCGTTGTTCTCTGTGAACAGTGGGAGGGAACAATCACGGGTGAGAAATTTGCTGCAATTGTGAAGCGTTGTTTCAAGAAAGCTTTTCGAAACTCAGCGAATCCAAAGGGAAAGCTTTTCCTAATGGACGGGTGCCCACGCCAAAACTCAAGAGCAGCAATGCGTGCTATAGAGAAAGTAGGTGCGAAGGTTTTCAAAATACCTGCTCGAAGTCCGGATCTCAACCCAATAGAGAACTTTTTTAACACTGTCACTATGAAATTGAACAATGATGCCATCGAGAAGCAAATTACGAGAGAGAGTATTCATGAATTTTCCCTGCGCGTTAAGGAAACTATGCAGAGTTTCAGTTCCGACGAGATAGACAAAATAATTGACAGCATGGGAAAACGAATAATCTCAGTTATTAAAAGACATGGTCAAAGAAGCAAATATTAATGACTATATAGAGAATGTTGCTTTCAATCCGTGACTTAAACGTTAATATTTAGTAGCAAAATAATATAACAATCGTTTCAACAGTCAAAATCGTACTGATTATAGTGTATATATAAAAATAATATCCCACGATCTAATGTCAACGTAATGTATATACATATTGCACATTTTACCACATGTTACCACATGTTACCACATGTTACTGTACATGTTACTATACATGTTACTATAAATATAGTATATATTAGTATATATTTCAACATGTTACTGCATGTTACTGCTATTTTTTTATAAAAGTAATATATATACTTTTATAAAAAAGTAGCAGTAACATGTAGTAACATGTTGAAGTATGTAGTAATATATACTATATCTATAGTAACATGTGCAGTAACATGTGCAGTAACATGTGGTAACTTGTTCAGTGATAGAAAGCGATTAATGAAATACTATACAGTAAAGTTTAATACCAAGAATAAGGTCTTGAAATGACCATTTTGTTCCATTTCTATGCTTTTGAGCTCGTTTTAATATGTGTTCAACTTATTTCTCCCAAAAGTACAAGTTTGGCAAAGCAATGTGGACACGGCGTTATTTGCCTTTGTTCTCTCTCTGGGATGCTGTGTGTGAATCGGAAGACTTTCCATCGTGACGCCATCATATCATCCTCACTTTTGTCTTCGGCGTTGTACAAGCCTCGATATTTGATGATGTCTTTGGATGTTGCAAATATTGGGATATCGGTATGGACACAGACATCCATGGCAAAATGATTCTTTGGGGCTGGCAGATTCACACGATCTCCTTCCAGCAACAGAAGCAAGCTCTTCCACTCAATCAGCTCCCTTGTCCAGCGAAAATCATTTAGCCAAATTATTTCTGCTTTGTCTGCACCTACCCAAGCATATTTGTCTGCGGCAGGGTTAGAAAAGGTGTCGAATAGTAGCGCGAGGGGTTTAAACAGAAATGTTTTGCCACAGTTTGTCGGGCCGACTATCATGACATTCCTGTATTTTCCTCTTCCAAGCATTAGCAAATCTCGTACGGCAGCGGCGAACAAGATTGGATGCAATTTGTTATTGACTAAAACTTCTTCAGCGCACCTTAGCCATAGTCCTTCACAGTCCTCAACGCAATTACCGGCGGCTGCTTCGCGTATTATCTCCATACGGGATGTTTTTTGACGATGCAAAACTGCAGCTGCTTTTTTCATTCTCCAGGTTTGCTGAATGAGCTCATCAAGGCTTTTCGCTGACCGGGAAAGGGCATAGTTTGCCAGGTCTTTCTTACCCTCTTCTTGCTGAGCATTGGCAACTGCGAGGAAAGACGTTTGATCTCTTATATCGTGCCTGTGAATAAATTCAGACACGTCTATATTCGACAGCTTTTTCATCTTTTTCGTCGGAGGGTTGCTCTCAGGTTCTTCATCATGCTGAGGTGTAGTTGTCAAAGTGGCTGCTTGTCTATTTGCGCGTCTTTGACGATAAGTACGCTGACAGTTCTTTGTTTGGGGGGATCCGACTTCGTCCAGGTTGGGATGATTTGGGCTGTGGTAAACATTCTCGTCAGACTTGGAAATATACCTGTACGCGGTATAATATCCGTCGTGATCGGAAAAATTCACCACAACTCCATGCTTTCTTTTCAGGGCTCGTTTACACTCAAGCCATTTCTTTGGGCCGGTCAGCTTTAACGCCATATGATAGTGGAAACCTTCATCTGCATGATTCTCGAGGCAACACGCCCAGTGCTGTGGCCTAAATTTGCTTCGTTCTGAAGTGAAGACTTCACATACGGCAGCAGCGAATGATTGCCTAGTTGGGAATTTATTCAAATCAGCTTGGCTGTAAGTTATTAGATAGCTTCTCCGTGGCTTAGCACAATTTATTTCATCTTTAAATTCAGCCATCATCAACAGTAATGTTATTTATCGCGGAAAAAATTTGAAATTCCCTCCTCCAATCAATTTCTTGTTCTAATTTAATATTAACTTTTAGATAATGTCAACATTAATCAAAGACTATATAGCAACGCCCGGATGTGCGCGGTGGTAAACACGAGTTTAATATGTATTATGCGAAATCAAACGCTTACAAGACCTATACCGAAGCTTTTAAAATTTATGTAATCTCAAACGTAACATTTTATTCGTCTAGAAGAGGTTCGCCTTGAAGAAACCAGCGCCCGAATAAGATGTAAGTTTAAGTATTGAGTTGTGATGATTATCTGTTTATAATACTTTGAATACATTATGAAACCGTCATGCATATTCATATCATGTCGTATAGCCTTTGCCTTGAAGTTTGTGTGATGATTTACATTTAAATATGCCAGGATCCACGCTCAATTTTTTCCTGAAATTTAGACAATCATGGAAATAATATACGTAGACTTCTTATAAAAAGCATACATATTTTGCATTGTTGGAGGCCATTTGTTAAAGATGCTAATATCCACTGCCAAAATAGTCCCCCCTCCCCCCCAAACACAATGTTGATCATAACATAGACCTTTGGCAGTGAACTCATGCATACAACAACATTGTATAGGGGGGAGGGGGGAACATTTGGGAGATTATTGTTTTGTCT